AAGTCGAACATAGCCAAATGAAATATATATATATATATATATATATATATATATATATAAATAATATAATATAACTGAAACGCAACTAAAAACGCAATCAAGAAGTAAAAATATATGGGCCAATTAGAGTTTCTTAAAAATTTAAAAAATCACATTGATGTTAAAATACTTATAAAATTGGAAAGTTCGAAAGATGAGAAAATCTAATAATTAAAAAAAGTATTTAAATATTATGAGATTATTAAGTTAATTATTTATGATTCTTTTTTGTTACCACCAATGACTACTATGCGCCTGATCCTTTGAATTGTGCTTATTCTTTTTTCAAATTTTATTTTACGTTCGTTATCATTGAGAAGGTTTCAAAAATGGATTGAAACGTTTGGTACATGAATTTTGTTAACATTTAAAACATAAAATATATTATTAGTACTATCATTTACTGCGTCTTGGATCTAATTGGATAAAATCTTTTTAATTTTTAATTTTATCATTTGAGCCTCATTTATGTTACTTTCATTATAAAAATGCAATGTCACGCGTTTGCGTCTTCGATATATATCACTCCTCCATACACATATATATGTAGTTAATTCAAATGAAAAGAAATGCAAAGATGATATTTTCTCTTGACTTTCTTTCAGATTTGCTTCCGCACTTTTTACTTTTGCAAATTTTTATAGTAACACATTTCCATGCTGGTGGAACATCTGTTAGTTAAAAGCGGAAAATCTGTCATTCGATTCTAATTATATTTTTTGTTCTCATGATAAAAATGGTCTTGATAAATTGTGACATCGAGTATTTGGGTAGCTTCGTTGAGTTTTTTTTAGAATTAATAGTGAAGAATTTGTTGTATAATCACTGTTGTCGCGGAAAACACCGAATGGTTTGTAAATACGAGCATTCAGTATATAGAATCCGATCGATACTTACACGCTGACAATAGCTGCCTGTTGTCGGGCATGCTGTGCTCGAAAAGACAAAAAGATTCGGCCATTCCGAAGGATGGATTAAATCTCACGACTTGCTATTACAGTTTCGCGAGTAAATTTTATTCGCGGCTTTGTTTCATTCTCATAATCTATTTCATCGTTTTGTCCCAGAATTTTCCAATGTCTGCCGCCTCATTCGTTATTTCATCATGCATATAACGATACAACGGATGTAAAGTTTTTAATGTTGGATTTTACATGCAAACTTAAAATATACAAAGTATGAACACATGTATTTAATATTGCATCATTATTGCATATATATTGTATATAAAAAAAAAACACTATGCATCCAAATTAATATTTTAAATATATAATAATAATAGTAACCACAATATTTTTTAAACAAAAATTTTCAATCAAGTACAATATATGTAAATGTTTTACATATATGTATACAGGATGTCCCTGGCTACCTATATAGGTCTTTTAAAAAAAAGAGAAATGGATTTTATCAAAAATCGTAAAAATTTCGATGACTAAATCGGGTACGCTCTATTGTATGGTTTATAATAATATGATAATTGTTTATGTTCATGTGCAATCCGAATTTGCAATAAAAAGTACCGTGTTCCATTGGAAAATTTGATTTCAGATCTGGATAATCCATTTCCTATCTAGCTACTTCCTGTTCGTAAATCTCACTTTAAAAATCATTTCGAGGTCGATGAAGGCATTTTAGAAAAAATTTTTGGGGTAAAAGTTTCTTATTTTTCGCTGAGAATCTGAATCTGTAATAAAAAGTACTTTGATCCATTAAAAAAATTCGACTTTCGGTCTAGATAGCCCATTTCCGGTCGGCACCGAAAGTTGAAAATATCACCATATAATAGAGAAAGCGTACCCAATTTAGTCATCAAAATTTTTGCGATTTTTAATAAAATCCACTTCCCTTTTTTCTTAAAAGGTTTGTACGGATAGTTATATATATGTAACAATATATATAACATATATATTATTATATGTATATAACAATAACTATGTCAAATTAAAATCACGCACATAATATCAAAATATATATTTGATTTCAGTCTTATAGACAATGGGAGCCGATCATCATCAAAAAGATCCATGATGTTCAAATTTATCGCTGTGTTTATCGCCGCAAATTTCTCATCATTGATCGCATTTTTGGATGATGTCACCCGCTTTCGGCGTTTTCTCAAAAGTAAATTCACAAAAAGCAACGACGCTCACAAAATCATGTCCAATATCACAGAAAAGCGAAGCATGCAATGTGCGTGACCTTATCAGGAACTACTGAACGATCGGTTCAACGAAATCGCAGAGTAATGATTAGAAACGTACGATTGAGGCTGGCGATCACCACCGCGGATTATAATCAAGCGAGTTGCACGTGTGATCGTCGGCACGTGTCTATACAAAGCGGTGGTGGCGGACTTTTCCTTCGATTCTTCCTGATTTTCTGTTGCACCACGATAACCTGCGGCGATTTCAAGAATAGGATGTCGCGTGGGATCAAGGATCTGCAAATAGCCTTAAAGCCTCCATCATGGCAAACAGTGGGCCACTGTGACCTAGAGCCAAACTGCGATTGGTACTGGGAGCGGCAATATACGAACCAAAAAACTGCAAATCTGACCTTTGAGAAAGTTATGGCATCAACATTATTCGACAATCCATATTTTCCGATCATAGATGCCAATGGATCCACAAACGGTACAGAAATCTTAGGCCAGTCGTACGTTTTTGAAAGAAAAATCGGGGCAAAATTAATAAAAAAAAGTGTCGTTATATATATATATATATATATATATATATATATAACGACATTTTTTTTATTAATTTTATATATATATATTTATATTTATATATTTTTATATTTTTATAAAAGAGAATGAACGTGAATGCTAAGAGATTATATACTCTGTAATGAATTTGATAAGATACACTATAGTACTAGAATCCAAATTATAGAATTGAAAATAAAATAACTCATATAATAAATTCTCTAAAAAAAAACAAATTAATTTGTCTTTCAAGGCCATTTCCTATGGTTTAACGGTCCTGGAGCTGCTCAAATATTGTCGAAGTCTATTTTTCGCACGGGCCCGCGTTGTCATGTCGATTTCTGGCTGTACCAAGTGGAAAATGATAACGGATTCATAAATATTATCATACTAACTGACAACGCGAGCTCAATCGCATACTCAAAACATGGGAATAATTATGTTACGTATGTACAAAGAAAGTTTTATTCGTATTATAATAATATACATTTTTAGAAAGAGAAAAATTAATACTTTTGGATATTGTTATAGATGGGAAAAAATGAGTTTCGAGTTACGCGCGGTCGATCAACCCTATCATTTACTTATAGAGATATATGCGCCCTATTATAACTCAAGCGTCGGCGTTGATAATATTCGTCTACTCAATTGCTTCCCAGGTAACTAATAAAAATACATATTTTAGTATTGTGTATATGTGTGCATAATGATTTAGTTATAATTGAACACTTTAATTGTCATATCAAGAGACACGGTAGTGTCTCGCGCTAAGTCATGCGAAACAAAGATCGCGTGCAGCAACGGCGAGACGCACCGTGTATCTATATATGCGAATCGGCCAATTGAGAGTATCTGAGATTATCAGTTCTCAATAATCGCTGAACGGATCGAGTTTTTACTAGGCTTAATCGATAGTTTGAGTTTGAGTTATATAAAGAAAATGTCTTTATTTTTGCTCTTCATACTCTACAAATGGAAATATCACGATACAAAGTCCCAATACGTCTCAATATGAAAATTTTCATTTAAGAAACGTCCCGGTCTCCGTCAGAAAAATATACTTTTCCAATGTTTTGACACAAGATTACGCTAGCGTCGCTCGCAGCCGATGGTAACTATCTGTAATCCGTCTACCGACTATATCGTTTGATATGTCAAATATTATCCGTATACCGATTATATCGTTTGATATGTCAAATATTATGTATATAGGTAAACAAAATGGTTATGTATACATGTTTATATCATATATACATGTGTATAATTTTAAACTATAAAATATTTCGTAAAATATTCATGTTTACATTTGTGTCCTTTCTGGTGTTATCGCTTATACGGATTGTAGAATGTAAATAAACATTCAATCACCTTGTAAACATGAATACTTTACGAAATCTTTTATAGTTTATGTAAAATTATATCAAAATAAAGTACAAAATATTTCGTAAACTATTCACTTTTTGGCTATCTTACCCTTATAATTTTTTATGCCAAATATTGCGAGGAATCGATTTGTATAAAAAAATTAGGAAGGTTCCATTTAAAAAAATGAAGATGACCTTCAAATCTCCTAAGCGCCTCCACCTAAAAAAAAATGTTTATTTCCACAAGATTTCCCCCTCGATACCATACAACTTTTATTTCAAACATTTTCTCCTATCTCCAAAACTGTGGGAGTTATTCGGGTGGCCTGTCTTAGATGCCTCACCCTGTATAATATTCCTAGAACATGTAGAGTAAAAAATGAAGATACTTTTATCGTATATATAATAACAAAGCTATCAAATAAATTTATTAGAAACTTGATTGTTCTATGTGTTATTGGGCGCGTTCAGCAGAGAAAACCGCTCAGTAGCAATCGAACGTGATTGGCTCTTTCTTTTAGAACCAACAAATCAATACCGAGTGTTGACAAGACGATAATTGAGCGTTTTCTCTGCTGAACGTGACTATTATCTAAGATTTCAACTCGGCTTACGTGTGTACAAATTTATTAATTGATTTTCATTTTTGTTAGTATATATATATATATTTTTGTCCTTTCACATTAGATATTAGCAAAGAAATAAAACAATTATTTTTTCAACATAAAACAATATAGTGGAAACAATAGTGGAAATGGAAATCGCGATGCCAAGAAAAGATGAATTTGTTGGATGTGAATTTTAGAATCCGTACAGGTTAAAACATAATATATGATCTTGGTTTATATAATAAAATATGTACTTTCTTACACAAACCAAAATTTTGTTACATAGATGCATTTGAATGTTACATCAAATTATATGACTGAAAAATAATATAGCTGAAAAATTAACGGATATTTATGCAAAATATTTGTTTTTATTTGTTTATTGACATTATACTAGTTTCTAGTTTACAAATCTTCAATTGTATAATATGTTTTAGAACAAATTATATATATTTTTAAACTACAAATATGAATACTTGTATCAAAATCTTTGTAGTATCAGAACAGATAATAAAATTAAAATTTATTGTTTACATACAAACAAATAATAACTAAATTATTATAAAATCATTCAGAAATAATAGTAAATGCTATTAATCAAAAAATATCGCGGTGTCGCATATATTCTTATATCACAATTCCTTCAATAGACAATATCATTTCTATGACTAATTCATTTAGATTTAAATTTATATTAAATTACTGTTTGCAAAAAATGCACGTACAAATTTAATAAAAAATTATGGTTACTTTAATTTTTTCTGTTAAGTTATTCTATGAGGTAGGATAGATCATTAGAGATTAATATTTTATATAAATAACACGTTTGCGCTCTCTTGAAATTTATGCCATTTTTATATAGGGTAGTGAGCCTATTCTTTGTTTATGAATTCGTATTCGTTGTTTAGTATTTAAAACTAAGCGAATATGAAAGATTCTTAATATTCGAAGGTATTACCAAGTTATTTAAGAAAATAGCTACATATTTTTAATGGAAATGCAGAGATTATATTTGTATACAATTACAGTAGCAATCATATAATGTTAATTGAAAAAGAGAAACAGTTAATTCATAAAGTCATTTGAAGAAATAGCCATATGATTTTGAAGGAAATGCAAGCGCAATTTGTACATATATGATTGCAATCAAATTGTATTAATTGAACAAAATTAATACAAATAAAAATTTAATTCAGTAATTGATGCGCAATAATATATTTGCATCTATCTAGAATCTATGCCAGTCGGTGCTGCCTGTACGAAGGATATGTTTCGATGTAACAACGGTGTTTGCTTGAATAGGACTCGTATCTGTGACTTTACAAAGGATTGCGCCGATGGTGAAGATGAAGCACTCGATTGTGGTATGCTACAAGAAATAAAATCACACATTTTCTTTTTCCCAATTTTAATAATCTTTCTAAAAAAATTTTATGTTTCATATATGTATATGTTTGAGAGAGTAGTTGTGTTAAATCCTAAATGTAAACATATGTAAATTTTGAAAATTTTTACAGACAAAATACCGGAGAACGCTAGATGCAATTTTGAGAACGGTTGGTGTGGATGGGCAAATGTTCCTGGGAGACCTTTAAATTGGACCCTTTATAAAGGTGCCACACCATCCATAAGAACCGGACCCAGTTATGATCATACTTATCGCAATGAAACAGGTGCGCGCTTGACTTACAAAGATCGAGCGAAGAGAGAAGCACGATATATGCACAATAATATATTGTTATCCTCTTCCCTCTCTTATTTGACAGGAACTTATGCGTACGTGAATATGGCATCTAAGAGTCAATTTATTAGATATGGCAGTCGAGGCACCCTTGAAAGTCCTTTATACAATCCGACACCACCTTACAGCAGCGATCTTAAAAGTCCTTATCATCACTCATGTCAAGTATGTGTTTGTAATTTTATACTATTATTATATTCAATTTTGCTTATATATACAAGGTGATTCAGAAATACTTGCACAAACTTTGGGAGTGACTTCTCCACATATAAGCAAAAAAAAAAAAAAAAAAAAAAAAAAAAAAAAAGAATATGAACATCCAGTAATGCCTGTTTTATGAGTTAGACTCGAAAGATTTCAACACCCCTATTAACCTGGCACCCCTATCACGAAATATCGGGTTCAGTTATAATGCATAATTAAGTGTTAATTTGTTACTCTAAGCGCGAATTTATTGCTACTACCCATTAACAGGAAAATGATATTAAAGATGGGGTCAGACCTAACTTGCCATTAAGTTAGCATTTCCACTTCCAAAAAACGCTTATAGCGAGTCGCAAATCAAAAAACAAATACACTAGAATTTATTGCTAATTAATTGCTTAAAGATACTACAAACAGATCTTGAAAATATTAAATTTTTAAATATGCACCAGCATACTAATACAATACGACATACTAATGAACATATAAAGTAAAATCATCAAAAATAAGTAGCTAACAATATCAAGTTGTTATAATATTGCATTTTGCTCATTAAATGCTCTCAAAATAAACCATTTCAAAATTAATTGCTTGCAATTTAACTAGAAAAATTTGACCCGAAAAAGTGGCGGTGCTAGCTCGCCTACAAGAGTAAACTATTAATTGCTGTTATGATTTTGATCTTAAAATGTTTCCCTGATTTATTACTCTCATTTATTGCTGCACATATAATATCGAATTTATTGCTCAACATTTGACTTAGAAAAATCGTCGCGAAAAAGTGGCGGTGCTAGTTTGTCTATAAGAGTGAACTATATCTCGATTTTTCGTGATGGGAATGCCAGGTTAATAGAGATGACTTCAACGATAAAAACTGACAAAGTATATCTACAATGACACATAATCGATGTAATGCATCTTCACACACACACAGTTCATTTGTTTATCTACTCACAATTCACAACAAATGCTCAAAATGTCCGTCCTCCACCTGCTTTAATGCACGCATGAGCACGTCGGATCACGGACTGTCGCATCCTTTCAAAGATCCCATGACGGTTGCAAATGGTTTCGCAAGCATCTACGATGCATTGGTGAAACGTCTGTTCATTTGCAATTTTAGTTCCATAAACTAGGTTTTATAGTGTCTCCGCATATAAAAATGTAGTGGATTTAGGTCAGCCCACTGACTGACTGAGCTACTGAGCTATTGAATTGAATGTAATCTTTCGATTATAACTCATAAACTAGGCATTATCGGATACATGTGTCTATGACATTTTTTTTTCTTGTTTATATGCGAAAAACTCACCTCTAAATTTTGTACAAGTATTTCTGAATTACTCTATATGTATATGTATGTGCGTGCGTGCGTACAATCTATCTTAAATGAAAAAAAGTATTTGAGTCGGTTTTATGTATTTAATATAGTAAAAGATTCATTGACGATATAAAGGGCATTAGCAAAGATTAATAAAATTGTGAGATGCTGTGTCAATACATTATATCTAAAAATAGAGAGTTTAAGAATATAAATTTAATTCACACGAGACACCAAATAGCAAAGTAATCTCTTTATTAATTTATTTGTTATGATACACCACTTACTTATCGTTTAATTATGAAAAATACGACACATGTCGCAATGTCAATTGTCAATTATTGTTCGGTGTTGTCTGTTTTCTTTAATACAGGAATGATCATGATATATAAATATGATATTGGACACGATGTGTTCTTTCTGCAAATGTCCCTTTCTAAAAAACGCATTAGAAATAGCAACATCAAGGCATTTGCAATATCTATCATTGTGTGTTTTTCTAGATACGCTTTTTCTATCACAAGTATGGTGCACATAGCGGATCTCTTGGACTTTATCTAGTCCAAGTAAAACCATTTGGAAATCAAACCATCAGATTGTGGTGGTCTTTTAAAACTAACAGCGATGTTTGGAATAATGAGGCAGTTGCTCTACCTGACATAAGATATAGGTAATTGTAAAAAATGTAGCGACAAATGCATGCACATAATGCAAAACTTGATTAATTTTTTCGACATTTACTATTTATAGGTTTTTTTTGCAATTTGAGGCGTCTAGAGGGATTACTTCGACAGGTGATATAGCAATTGACGATATTTCCTTAAGTCGAGAATGTTTCGCCATTGGTAACTTCAACAAATATATCTATATTATATTGTGTATACATATATATGTTTTATGATTATATGTACATATTAGGTCTACCGGAAAGTTCTGTCCGTTTTTGGAATAAAACAAAATACAAATTTTTATTACCGTCAATAAACTTTATTAAATAATGTAATTGCCATTATTCGGAGAAGTATTGTCAGCAACTGGATAATTTAAATACAGCAGTCCAAGAAAAGAGGCCGGCGATGTACAATAGGAAGAACATCATACTGCATCATGATAATGCCAGGCCACATGCTGCTTTGGATACTCGTCAAAAAATTGCAGAACTAGGCTGGAAAATTCTGTCGCATCCACCATATTCCCCGGACTTAGCACCCACCGACTATCACTTGTTTTTGTCCTTACAAAATTTTTTGAGGGGCAAAAAATTCAAAAATGAAGAAGATATCAAACAAGCACTGGTTCAATTTTTCGCATCAAAAGATAAAACATTTTTCGAAAAAGGGATATACAAATTGCCCTCACGCTGGCAAGAAATCATTAATAATAATGGCAATTACATTATTTAATAAAGTTTATTGACGGTAATAAAAATTTGTATTTTGTTTTATTCCAAAAACGGACAGAACTTTCCGGTAGACCTAATATAATATCGGTAAATATGATATATTGTTGGGAACAGAAAAGGTCGCGGGAAAATCAATACGAATTTTACCACATTGTCAATTCGTTATGCTTTAATTATTCCGCGACGCGCAATCGCTATCGGACAAAAAAAAACATTCGGACGGGAAACGTGATAATTTATAGCGAGCGTAAACGCAAAACGTAACGAGACTTTTATTATTGAAACCTAGGGTTACACAATTCTCCATCCCACTCGTTGCCGGTGAAAAAACTCCACCGCGTCTCTGACTTTAAGCCGACGGAAGGACGCGCTTTAATTGGACTCGTTGAAAGCGACACGGGACAATACCTCATTGCTATCCATTATTCTTTGTCGGATTATTGTTCGTTGCCTATCTTCAAGCTCGCGGCTCGAAACATGCGCGTCAATAGCATTGCTCTGCAATTGGCGCAAACGCATAATCACGTTTCGCCTCGAGAGAAAGGAAAAAGAAGTATTACGTAATTAATTAATCATTATACAATCTTGGTTGCTGTTACCAACAAGTACTATTTCAATATAGATTTAATGTAATAATAGATTCCATAGAGTTGGTACATAAATTATTTGATTTATTAAATATTTTATGTGTTCTATTTTCAATTATTCCGGATTGTTCCCCTTCGAGATGAATCAGCTTTCATGATGCAGAGTCACGAAGAGGTCGCGATCGTAATTTCGGTCGAGACAAGATCGTGAGAATCCCTTAGGTTAAATCTAATCCGAGCAGGAGGAAGATTAATGGAGGTGACGTTACTTGTAGTTCGCGTTTGCCCGTTTGTTCCTTCGAAAACTAAATGTCGACCTCAAGATTGAAACAAGAATAAGGCGGAAGAGAATCTTGGAAACATTGATGATGACTCATCTTTATTGCTCATATTAATACCGAGATCCTTAACTATACGATGATTAATCTCGCGATTAATCGTATCACTTTTTTACGAGCAAATGTCAAACAAGACGAATGTATATTTCGAAAAATATTAATGACTAATTTTATCAAAAAAATAGAAATAAAAAATTAAAATAAAATTGGACAAAATAATTTGATTGTGTCATAAATTATAAAAATTATATCGATTGTTAATAAAATTTATTCTATCGTAATAAACACGGTCGATGAAAAACATTTTGTAGAGTGTCAAACGCATAATGAAGTATCTTCGATGATAAGAAATATAACGACGTGAAATCTTACAAAGGTACGAGACCGAATTTATCAGGCGTCGCTTCGCGAAACTTCGTTTTTCGTGTCGAAAAATGTTCTTCGCGAGCAGGTAAAGCCGTCCTTTTTGATTACGCGGTTTACGTTCCGAATGTAATTAAGGTAACGAATATCGCGCGCAGGAAAGATGGGAGCGTGTTTCGTTGTCTCGACCAGTTTTTGCTCGCACTCGAATGTCGCCTCTTTAACACAGTAAAGGTCTCCAGGAAGACAGGAGTGACTGAAGAAGGAAAGAAAGAGGAGGGAAGAGAGTAGGGCGAAAAGAGAATCGAAGTTCCCGACAGCACTCCGTGGGACCCTCGGGGCCGCGCTTAATTGGATCGAATCGAGTCGAGGCAACGACGAGGAAGAGTCACCGCTCGTACGCTCGTTTCGCGTCTTAAATTTCAATTATTTCGAACTGCGATCAGAGACCCTTGGATCAAAACGTCGGTTTATTTGTCGTTAATAAAACACAAACGCTTTCCTTCTGACTGGACTGAGATTAATTGGAAAAACTTGGAGCGTTTGAACTCGCTAAAATAACTAACGTTCGATTCCAGATTATACCTCTGTTGTGAGCGATATCTTTAATGTAAGTTCTATCTCTTCTTTTTTTGTGATGCGAGCAAGAGAATTTAACAATAAATAAAGTTAATTGGAAAGATACTTTTAAAGAAGACAGATTTTTTTTTTATATAAATTAGAAAATATGTAAGAGATACACGGAGAATATTTTATATTTATATATACACACACACTATATTTATGCATTAATATAAAATTGATCACTTACTGTGGAAAGAGACGTTTAATTTAAAAAATAACAAATAAAATAAATTAAATAAATTGTAAATTACTCATCTCACAGTTACTCCTCGCTGTCGCCCAATGCCTCTCTTTCCCCTCTTGCTTCTCCTTTGCTGCCCTTTTATGACACTTTTGCATGACACTCACGAAAACACGGTTAATTACGATCACGGGCGCACTAATTGGTGGAATACGACGATCGCGTGACACTTTACAGGGCGCTTCCAATGTATAATCATCGTGCGCGACACGCACTTTATTTCATTGATGAGAGAACAACGTGAAAATTATGGCGCTCGAAAATTTTGCTATTCAAATTCACGCGTCACTTGCTGCGGTGACATTTAACAGATAATATACACTTTCGTTTTACAATTACTCACCTGGTATTATAAAGTTTGGAATACGAATTAAACATAAATATTCAAGGATTGTGCAATATTCAAAGATATAGTTAAGTTTGTCGACTGTTTGCACGACTAATTTTGAATAAATTTTGCGGGATATGCGTTTTGACAAATTGCAACGATGGATTATAGAAACGCCAAATTTATTATGCGCGATTGATAAATATTAAAATGTAGGATTAATAACGCAGGAAAAAAAATATTAAAATGCAGGATTAATGTACTTATTATAATTGAACATATCGCGACGCTGTTCGATCAGCCTCGTAAACGCAAACGTTTTGTTAATGACCGTAAATGGCATTGGCGACTTCACTTTGATATCGCGCGATATTACGCGAGTCGAGTTAATGGCTAGTTGAGAGGCAATGTACCGTCCCGAAATATATATAATCGAAATTCACGATATTGCATGCGAGATACATAATAAATCCCGCGAAATAAATTATTAATTAACGGTCGATATATCATCGGTTTTCCTTTACTTGTATTATTCGATCCGGTAATCGTATATTACTCCCGATAATTATAGGCAAATAATGCTTAAATCGGTGAAAAATTTTAAACGCGGTATATATTCATATCTAAATAAATTAAAGAAATAATTATCGTTTTAAATATTGAGAAATAAAATAATAATTACCCTTCCCTAATGCTTCATTTTCTTCTCGTCCATATTTTAGAAAAATAAATTGGTAGCGACATATTATCGTAGTATTTTTCGAGACACGATCGTGAGAAGTACTGGAAGACGTCAAATGCGTAATAATTACAATTATTGGTTATTAGTTAGCGTGATTCGTATGAACATTGCGACGACAGCTATTTATCGAAGCAATATTTCGCGTAATATATTTGGAAGAAGAATCTCGGAACGACATGAGATGGAAATTATAAATTGTTTTGTTATGATAAAACAAATAAGTTAATTTGTTAGTAATTGTAAAATGTTTACGGGCATATAATGACTTCTTTAAATATACCTCGAATATATTTTGCCTCGCGCTGTAATTTGAATTTTTCGCTTGTTTTCAAATGTAATTAACCCATCATTTTCATATCAAAAATTTTGAGTAATATACAAACCAGGGTAAAATAATTCACATAATGAAAAGCCCCGTGATATATCGATCGTTTATTAATATAATGCATTTATATATTCCGCGGTATTTATATATCGCGTGTGCAATATTGAATTTTGAATGACGTATTTTTGGACGGCACAACGGATCTTTTGACTAATCATTTACTTGAATGGTATCGCACGATATCAAAGTGAGATTGTTTGTGAATGATATTTTCAAGTTTTTTGATGATTAATGATACATGTCGT